AATCTTTGCTCACTGATTCCAAAGAAACCCAAAACAGAGAAGAATTAATAATTAAAAGCAGATATTTGGGGAAAAAAAAAAGAAAAAAATAAAGGACATGGAGAAATATTCTTCTGAAACAGTACTTTTCAAATGTTTTCTGTTTATCCAAAAACACACACATACAGACATACATACACAAGATCAGTAGAAAAGTTCACTTGTACACTGATCATTCATTTGTCATGAGCCCAATAGTTTCTTACCATATGATAAAGTATGATAAATGCAGTTTCTTTCATTTGCATATCTCATTTTTCTAATTTCTAATAGAAGGATCAGGGTTGATGATATTCACCAAATAATAACAAAAAATTACTATTTTGCCCCCTTGAGATATTAAGATAGTTTTCCAGTTCCGTTTTCTCTAAATTTCCGGTGGGCTTAAATTTATTTCCACGCTTGATAATTCGACTCAAAGTAAGAATCACACAATGACGTACTAAACCTAACATTATCAACTAGATATACTTTCCAATAATAATAATAAAAAAAATCTATAACATCTGTTGCAATAAATAAAACCTAATTAATAAAATCTATATAGGTTCCCCGTCAGAAAACGTTACAGGACAATTTATCATTTTTTAAAAAAGTGATTTAATTATGTAAGAAATATCATAACATTATGTAGAAATTGTCACGGTTATGTTTTAAAAAGTGATTTAATGTATTTTTTGTTATTCTAATAAATAATAAGTAATATTATATTTCTACTACATATCTCTTTCTTTTTTTACATAATATTATGATATTTATCACATAATTATATCACTTTTTAAAAAATGATAACACTGACATGTAATCTTTTTTAGGAAACCTATAAAAGAATAATTTATATAGTATATAAGGTTTATATTGTCCATTTTTTTTTCGCTTTGGCCGTACTATAATAATTATTATTAAAATACTCAAATTATATAAATAAATTCTATAATTCACTAATTTCATACGACAATTATCATTAATATACTGCAAATTCCATATTTATATTTATTTATTTTTACTAAAATCTAAAAAATTATGCTAAGATGTAATAATTCTCAAATAACTTATTTAGCTAATGTAACAATTCAATTATAAATGTGATACATATAGTTCAATATAGTTGTTATCTTTATATAAAAGTTTATGTTATGTTATGTTATTTATTTATTTATTTTTTTGTAATTTGTGCATGATGAATTATTTGCTAAACTTTGGCCAATCATTAATATCTTTTGAATTATGTGAACCTTACTTTAAAAATCATTAATACCCACAATTATACATACACTCATGTGTATTTCTCATCAATACCCAACAATTACACACACTCATGTGTGTGGTTTATGTGAGGCGTGTGGTGAACAGGCGGCGCACCACCGCGCATGCGCCACTTCTCAAGGGCGGCGTAGAAATTGTCCGGCCGACCAAGTTTGTGATGAGCCAAATTCATACTCATTTTGAACTCAAACTTATTTTTTCTTTGGTCAACTACTTTTTTTTTATATGACCAATTTAATTTTACAATAAAAGTAAATGATCCTCATAATTGAACTGTTTGATGCCCACGGCCCCCTTTGCCAACCTGGCCATTCAACTCTAATTATGGCCCATTTCTTGCATAATTGACAATATAGATAATCCCCACCCCTTTAACTACCAATGGATAAAATAAATAAGAATGAAAAATTGTATATTTTTTAAACTAAAGAAGTATACAAGTAAATCAACATAATTAGTCTGCTTCACATGAAAAATTGTGCAATGCATACAATTTAGGTCTACTTTATCATAATTTTACTTTTTAACAAATATGCATATATTCGTATATATTTAGATAATAAAAATAATATACATAATAGAAGTGTATGATATTGTTCAAAAAAATTATAACGAGTTGATCCGCTTAATTATTAAACCGTGTCAGAATTAAAAAACAAATTCATTTTGACATTAGCTTTTGGAGAGTAGGGTTTGCAAGACTAATGGACATATCAACTTCCACAAACCGTGTAAAAGGGTCTGAAATCTATTTTTTGTTATTGCGCCGTAACACAAGGGCTTTTGTCACAATTAGTGCTTGAGAAAATGATGGTGATTTGGGTCTACTTGTCAAGAAAAGGGGGATATGAGTTCATAA